TTATTTGCTGGTAAAGATCCTTAAAAGGTTGGCCTTAGAATATACTGAAGAGAAGTGACTTTGAACAGCAGTAACTTACTTTGCAAACTGAACTAATTAATTCTAACATTTTTTTAAAATTTCAAAATTTTTAAAAGTAGTGAAACACTTCTTTACCACTCTCTGAATAAAAATGTGACATCTGCATTATCCAAAATTTTATGTTTCTACTGTTGATCTGGCCAATATACTCTAATCCTTTTTTTGGTTGTTTTTTGTTGTTGTTGTTGCTGTTGTTGTTTTAATACAAAGCACACATTCATTTTAAAAAGTTAGATGGTATTTTTAAAACATCTGAAAACTCCACAATTTTGTAAAATTTTGTAAAAATATCCAAAATGTTTTTTTGTTCTTGCTATTCACTCAGCCTTGTAATTTCATTGGTGTAGGAAAATTTTGGAGTAGAAAATAACACTACCAATAAAACAATTCATCTACAGTTAAAATCTTAGACTTGCCTGGATCACTGAGAAGTGAAGTGATTTGTCCAAGGTTACACAGCTAGTATGTGCCAGAATCTGATCTTAAAGCCAGGTCTTCCTGATTCCCAGACTCAATCCCAGGCTGTCTCTCAGTCATCCTATTTGCAATCCAAATTGACAACTAGATAATGAAGTAGATAGGGTGCTGGTCATGGAGTCAGGAAGACTTGAATTCAATTCTGACTCCAGACATTTAGTAGCTACATAGCCCTGGGCAAGTCACTTAACCTTTCTGCCTCAGTTCCTTCAACGATAAAATGAGGACATAACAACAGTTACCTCCCAGGGCTGTTGTGAGGATCATATGAGATATTTGGAAAAGCGCCTGGCACATAATAGATGGTATATAAATGCTTTTTTCCTTCCCTTCCTCTTTAAGCTTGTTGTTTTAGTAAATTAAAAACAACTAAGAATATGCTGGGTTTTTAAAATAGTAATTGTCCTCATACAGCACAACAAAAAAATGAAAATCATTTATGTATGCTATGATTTCATAATTGTTTCAGTTATGGTTTCAATAAATAGTCAAAATCCCCTATAAAGCATTCTAACATAGATATAAAAAATGTAAAAATGTGAATGTGAAAAATATATTAAAAGTTAATTGCCGCTGTTGAAAATTGAGAACGTGAACTTGAAGTCTTTCCCAGACATGTCAGTCCAGTTGTCTCTCCTTTGAACTCCTTAAGTACTTATTGTCCAGACCACTTAGTACATGCTACCCAGTATTCTTTTTGTGGGCAAGTGGTAAAGTGGACAAGAGATACAGGGAAAGAGTACTAGACTTTGAATAACAACCTATATATCTATTAAGCACCTATTGTATACCAGTGAATATGTAGACACTGGTGATAAAAAAGTGAAATAGCTGTTCACCCAATGAGCTCAAATTCTACAAGGGGAGAACAACATGCTCATAGATAATACAGGAGATACACAAAAAAACACAGTGAATGAGGGCAAGGGTAGGCACTAAAAATTGAGGGAATCAGAAAAAGTCTCTTACGGGAAGTAGCACTTGAACTGAATCTTAAAGAATAGCTGGGCTAGAGTCCTATCTTTGTAAACTCGGATAAGCCACTTCCCATCTGGGTCTCAGTTTCCTCATCTGTAAAATGAGGGAAATGGACTAAATGTTCTTCCACCTCCGACATTCTATTATTCTATTTATCTTTTTACATATATAGTTTGTTCTCCATCTTCTTCTTCATACTCTCCACCTCCCACCCCCTGCAACTACATGAATACAGGAACCATTCTTTATGCCTCTTTGTATTCCTAGAACCTTGCATATTCAATAAATATTTACACAGCAGAATTACAAGGAAACTTGGATATTATCCAGTTAAATTTCTCACTTTACAGATAAGGGAACTAAGTAATGATAAATGCTGATAAAAATAAAAGCTATATCTTACTCTAAATGCAAAATAACATGTACAACAGGTACGTAAAAACTAATGAGGTACTTTGTATAGAACAAATATGTCTTTCAGTCTTTCACATACGGGGACTTAACTACAATTTTAAACAAGGCCACTCCATAGATCACTAACTCTGATTCTGGTTTGGTGATTGTCATTGCTGGTATTTTTTAAAAATGATAATCAAATATAGAAAATCAACTGAATTAAAAGGATCAATTCTCTTTGTTCAGCATAAAGCCATCACTATAAAACCATAAAAAGAGAACAGGTATGGCTACTCATACATTTGAAGAGGTCCAAGTCTTCTGACGAGTGGTCCTTTTAATCACAATCTAAACTTGATTACAGACACGTCCAAATCAACTATTAAGTTACAAAAAAAGCCATGTGGCTTCAAATTTTTAATAACACTAGAAAGAGAACTGAAGAGGGAAACTGATAAGAGCACTGAATACAAAGGTAGCCTTTGAAAAAAGGCAGACAGAAAGGGGGAATAAGAAATACTGATAGGATTCACCTTTCCAAAAAGCTCCTGGACAGTTTTAATCCAGTACTCATGGCCTTTCTGATGACTGTAAAATTATTTTTTGATATATTCCAAGTCACTTTCCTAACCTTCCCCTCCTTGTCCATTGTTAGTGCTCTTCCCCTCCTCAAATTATCTTGCAGCCATTTATCTGTTTATGTGTTACATTTGCCCCCTTGAAGAATGTAAGGCTGGTTACTTTTTTTTTAATTTTTTTTTTTTATTTTTAGGCAACTGGGGTAAAGTGACTTGCCCAGGATCACACAGCTAGTAAGTGTCAAGTGTTTGGTCTGAGGCCAAATTTGAACTCAGGTCCTCCTGCATCCAGGGCCGGTGCTCTATCCATTGCGCCATCTAGCCGCCCCAGGCTGGTTACTTTTTGCCTCTGTATTCCCAACATCTAGCATGGTAGTCAGCCCATAGCAGGTACTAAATGTTTGCATTTCTGAATAGAATTTCTAGTCATAAGAGTTAAGAAGATCAAATTTTAATTCCCAAAATTTCTCTCTAAAAAAAGTTACTTTATTTTCCAATCGTGGTCATCCTGATCAATACTTATAGGTAAATGCTCTAAGGATCACCTCTACCTTCTAAAGTGTATTACGTAGGTTTGAAGATGGGGAACATTCAACTTCTAAAGCAATCTTCCTTATTTTAAGGCCTCCTATACCATTCCAAGTATTATATTCCAGCAATCTGTTCAAGAACGAATTTATATTGGAAAGACCCAGTTTTTAATCATATAAAAGCCAATAACAGCCTCAATTTTTTTAGTGTCATCAGTTTAGAACCTAGCTTTCCTATGGAAAAGAGGAAAAAACATTTTATTTGATAATATACTCAAATATTTTTCTATTTCCTTTTTTGTTTTTTTTAAAAATTGTATCACATTCCTTTTTTTCTGATTTTGTCCTTCTGGCAAAGCAGAGGGGATTTGGGGGTTTTTGTCCTGTTTGGTTTTTCAATGTCAAGTAATGTTTCACCGAAGAATGGCCAGATTTTCTTTTCTCCTGTTTCTCTCTGTGGAAAACAATCTACAGCTGAATGCTTAACTAAAAGACATACATTGACGTTTCCTAAACATGTTCCAAGACACAAGAAAATGTTGATATAAGCAATGTTTCTCCTTCTAAAATCTTAGATTTGATAGTATGCATCAAAATGCTTAAAATACGTGTCAATTTCTCATTATGAAAATTTCCTTCATTCAGTTCCAAATTTCCTGGCTCCCCTTTATTCCAGGTATATTCCACAACTACAGACTAGCATTTATAGATTCAATCAATCAAATTATTTCTAGATCTAAAGTATCCTGTGGTATTTTTATCTCTAGAATCAAATATAAAGTCCTTTGTTGACATTTAAAGCTCTTTACAGCCTAGACCCTTTCTAACCTTTTTCCAGTCTTTTATTTTACTATCTTCCACACACTCTAAGGTCCAGAGACATCAATCTATCTACTGTTCCTACATGATACTCTATCTCCCATTACCTACCTAGAATGCTCTTCCTCAAGCCTGCCTCTTAAGACTCCCAGGCTTTCTTCAAAACAGAGTTCAAAAAACCACTATCTGCAGGAGGTCTGTCTCATTCCCTCACCCAGCTGCTGGAACCTCCTCTCTGTAAGATTACCTTCCATCTATTTTATATGTATCTTATACATAGGCATTTTTAATATATTGTTCCCCATTAGAATACAAGCTTCAAAAGGGTAGGAATTATTTTTCCTTTCTTTGTAACTCCATGCTTGGCAAACTGCCTGGCAAGAACTTAATAAATGCTTGTCAGTTTCTTGTGACAAAATTTTTCTTTATCACATTTAAAATCAGACTGTCATTTATATCACTACATGGAACATGCTATGGTGCTCTTCAGCAAAAACAAATAGGAAAGGTTTAGCAGGACACTAGATACAATACCGATTTTGCAGATTAGTAATTATTGTTTTTGCTGTTATGAAAACAAGTACTATCTTTAGTTGAAAGAAAAACAGACACAACACTTTGTTTCCTGGAAACAGAACAAGCATGCAAAAATGGAGACATAACATTTCTTTTTATTAGGGCACCATCACCCAAAACTCCTCTTAATATAAAGGTTGATATAAGTCAAAGGACTATTACTTCGAGTTCCGATCTTTAAGAGACTGTAAGTTTGTTGACTGACTCTAAGAAAAGTTAAACTAAATATGCTATTTACCATATTATTGACCACAAGCGAAAGACAACTCAATAAAACCCAAGTAAAATATGACTCAGAAAATTATTAGGATAAGTTGACACATAATTTGGGAAAAGAAAGAGTATCCTTAGTAAGAGTATCCCTTAAGTAACATAGTTGAATTCTCATAATGTGCCAAAACGTTTACATAGTTGTGAGAGCTCTTAAGGATTTAGCTTGACGGAAAACCATTAATTTGGCCTCTATAGCTATAAATATCCTGAGAAAAATATTTAATTTTCAAGTGGTAGAAGGTTTAACACAAAGTAATAAAAGAACTACAGAAGAAAAAAGCAGACAACATACCTGGCAACATGGGAAAAAGCATCCACGAGAACAGATTCAAATTCCCTAGTGAATTCAGGCCCCTTCCTCTTACTGTTTTGGATGACATCATTTGCTAAGTATAAAAACGTAAGCTTTCTATTTGATTTGGCTGAAAGAAGAAAAGAAAATACTTTAACTTACATTCTAACTGTGGTATTTCTCATCTCATGGTCAGCTTCTTACCAAAGTCTACTTACTACATAACAGAATACAAACATATCTTTGTTAGAGGTCAAGGACTGTGCATTTAACAAACTTCATAGAATATAGCAACAAATGCACTTAAGACCTTAATATTTTTTACCAAAGTTGGCCTAAAACTAGTATAAAAGGAAATAACTGTCTTAATTTCTTCATGAAATAAGTCTCTCTGTCAAATGCACAAAGTACTATCTTAAGAAAAGGTCTGAAAGGTTAAGAATTCAAAATCCAATAGCATATGACAAAACAAAACTTTTAATTGACACTAAATCCAATATCGATTTTAATTGAATATACGTAAATATACTGCCAGGATGAACATTTCTAACTGTTGTTGTTAATTACTATATGTTCCTGGAATAAAGAAACCAAATCAAAACCTGTTCTTATTTCAAAATCACTTTTTATTATCCATGAACTAGTTAAATTTTTTTCCTAAACATTTTTAGTCACCAGTCCAAGATAGCTAATTCTGTAATCCAACAGAAAAACCTCTAAAAGATGTATTCTTTATTTCAAATACAAAAATATATTAATGCTATGTTACTAGATTATTACTTAAAATTTACACACATGAAGTCAGGAAAATAAAAATTACGTCTCCCACAAAACCCATTATTCTTTTTTTTAATACATAGTACATGCAGTATTTCCTATTACTCTATATGGTATCATATATTAAACCATAAAAACTTCATGCAGTATGTCTGAGTTACAGTTACTTTGGGGAACATTACTGAATTTCCTGGCTTCCATGCACATAACTTCTCGACCATAAAGTTGCATCACCGGTTTTTGGTGAAGATTTTCTTTTAAAAGGAATAAATAAAAGTGTAATCAGATATCTGAACACTAAGTTTTCTTCAATGCCAATGTACTTGAACTCAAACGTATTATACTTCAACCTTTACGCACCTTACAAACTAGTCTTTGCTCCATTTTTCTTCCCCTTTTGAAAAGCACATAGCATGCATCACTCAGCAGTTATAAGATAGTTTCAAATGTAGCTATTGAGAATAACTGAAGTTTAAATTTGGGGTTTTAAAAAAACACAATACATTAACTATTTCCCCCAAATGTTCATATAAATATGTCTGCTCTCAATTCCAATAAACATCTAGTAACAAGTCAGATCAACAAATAAGAAATTTAATTATCTAAAGGTACTTTAACAGTTTTAATAATTGGTCAGAAACAAAAGTGGATTCAATAATTACTCCTGTATCCCATTCTGTGACAAAGGTATAAATACCATAGAAGGTATTTCTTTTCATACACCCATTTTGGAAAGCTGGAGAAATCCATAAATACCAAGTCTGTATTGATATTAATCAACAATGAATCTTAAAATAAAATAACAATAGCCAATTCTCCTTAAATAAAGGTTTATATATTTCACATGCCTTATGTTCAAAAACCCAGAATCCAAATGACAAAAAAACAATTTGGACACTGTAGAATAGCACCATGGCAAAGTGGAAAGGGTGTTGTATTTGAAGTAAGATCTGGGTTCAAATCTCAGCTCTGCTACTTACTGCCTTTGCCATCTTGGACAAGTCATTTAACTTCTCTGGGCCTCCTTTGCAAAATTAGGATGTTGTGAGCAAGAGAACATTAAGTTCCCTTCAAGTTCTAACCTATGACTCTATGAATCAAAATTTTTCCAGCACCTGAAATTATGATTTCCATAAGAGAACTAAGAATAAGAAATCAAATATTTTCACTGCCAACAATGACAATTATTTTCATCATCCTTCCAGCCAAACTATTATGATGTGCTTTAGGATGAAATGCTCTTCCCTTACTCAGGCAACATTCCATGCCCCTAGCAAGAAGTCATGTGTATAAAAGAAAAGTCATTTCAGAGGAAAATCTAGACCTCAGGAATTACTGGAACAATAATTTTTTTTAAAGCCTCAGATACATGAACAACATACTACAAAGCTTTCAACTGTTGTGACATTAAAAATTAAGGCTCTCTTCAAAAGGCAAAAATCGATCATTTAAGCTGTCTTCCCCTTCCCTTCCTCTCTCTTCCACCCTTCAACTCCACTCTCCCAATCAGTTCATTTGGTTGTTGGACAGAGACAAAAAACTTGTTGACTTTCTTTTGAGGTCCTGAGAACAGCCTTAAAGTTACCTACTTTATAGGCAATATATTTACTTTTTAAAGAAGTTGTTTCTTCAAGAACATTTTAAACAAACTACAGTATAGAAATGACTCCATAAACTGAAGAAAAAAAATAAGGGTGAAAGAGGAAAAATAGGAGTATGCACTAGGTAAACAGAAAAATTTCTGGCAATGAAAAACGATAATTTTGGTCAAGTAATTTTAAGTACTTCAGAGGTATTTCTTCCCCCGGTTTTTTTTGTTTGTTCATTTGTTTTACTTTTTGGTGAGGCAGTCAGGGTTACATGACTTGCCCAACGTCACACAGCTAGTAAGTGTCAAGTGTCTGAGGTCATATTTGAACTCAAGTCCTCCTGACTCCAAAGCAGGAGCTCTGTCCCGTGCCACCTAGCTGCCCCCCAGAGGTATACTGAATTTGGAGATCTCTGAAATACACACTTCTAGATGATAAAGGGTAGAGAAGAACACCAAGAAGGAGCATCAAAACCTATCACAGAACCCCTACTGATGGTTCAAGTTTTGAGGAAGGCACAGTACCTTACATGAAGTAGCAGCTTTAAAATTTTGCTGATGTGAACTAGCTCAACTACAACCAAAAAAAGTCTCTGGCACCAAAGACTTAACTTTAGCTACTTCCAGGTGTACCTCAATGAGAACACATGACTGCAGGCTCCTTCATCAACTCAACAAAAAGATGCTGGATATTAAAAGAGTTAAGAAAGAAGTAAAAGGGCAGATAGATCAGAATGAGATTCCTCTGGGAGTGGGAACTCAGAGGTCTGCCCAAGGGAAAAACATGCAGGAAGAGGTATACGGGGCTAAGTAGAGGGAGGATACTTGAAGGCAAAAAGGGTATGGAAGAAGTTGTGGGGAGGAGTGCCTGTGTGAAGGGTTGGGGACTCAGGTGGGGAGGGGTGTGTGAATGACAGAGACAGCGGTGGAGAATTGGAGGGACATTCAGTGGAGAAGGGTTGGAAGCTAAAAACTCATGAGGGGTGTGCATGGAGAGCTGGAAGCTTGTCAGAAAAGTCCTGGAAGTTGGGATGGAGAAGCAGAGACAGTGGAGGCCTGCAGAGAGATGGGTAGGGGTATTGATGGTTTGGGGGGCTGGTCAGACAGACAAGGAGGGGTTCATGAAGGATTGGTAGCTATTCAGATAAAGGCAGTGTAAATCATGTGAGGAAGGAGGACAGACAGGTGGTGGAGAGCTGGGGGCCTGACACAAACACAAAGAAAGGGATGAATGGAGGATTGGGGAGCTGGAGAGACAGTAGAAAGGCATTCCTGGAGGGTTAGGAGAACTTAGCACAGTACCTTGGCACAGAAAATGTGTTCAATACATGCTTACTGACTGTCCAGACAGGGTGTGTGGGGCTGAGGGACAAAGTAGTGGAGGGCTGAGCTCCTCTCGCGTAAGAACGATCTTTTGCCTCTCTTGGAATCCCCAGCGCTAGGACAGCGACAAGCACAGACCTGCAGCTTAGTAAATGTTCGGCTGACAAGTCAGACAGAGGTAGAGGAAGTCAGGGGGCCTGACAGAAGCACATGGAGAGGGACACATGGGGGAACAGGGAACTGGATAGACCGGGGGGGGGGGGGGGGGCGCTGAAAGGTCGCTCCCCCTTAACACAGTGCCTGACACATAGCAGGCGTTTAAAAAATTTGTGCTTCCAGCTCCGACGGAGGTAGGGGGAGGCAGTGGACAGGGAAGAAGCGCATGGAGAGGGATGCACTGAGGCCTGGGGAGCTGGGCTCCTGGAGGGCTGGGGGGTGGGGTTAGCCCAGTGCCTTATACATAATAGGCGCTTAATAAATGGGTTCGGCCCGAGGTAGGGGAGGCAGAGAGCGGGACGCACGGGGCACTGGGGAGCTCGCAGACAGCCGGGGAGGCGAGGGCCGGGGAGCCCCGGCGGGATACGCACCTTTGCGGAGCTCGCGGTGCCACACCGAGACGATGGGCCCCGCATGCTTGCGGTGGTGGATCAGCCACAGAGACAATGTCTGGACGCTCTGCTGGGAGTTACTCAGCTCGGAGAGTTTCTTCTCCAGAGCGGACTCCGAGAAAGAGGACATGGTGGCGGGCGGGAGGGAGGGAGGACTGGCGGGCTTCCGGGCGGGGAGGAGCGGGAGGCGGCAGCCGATGGACACGAGGCCCGGGGCGAGGTCCAGTACGAGACCGAGCAGCAGAAGGACTTGCCAGGCCAGGCCGAGAGCCTGAGGGGCCAAGGCCGGAGGGGCGGCCGAGTCTCCTCGGTAACAGCCGCCTCCGCCGCCGCCGCCGCCGCCACAAGATGGCCACCTGACCTCTCACCCCGCCGCGAGAGAGGGCAAAGGGCAAGGGCCGGAGCGGAAGCAGGAGGGAAGCGGGGCGGAGGCAGGAGGATGGCCGCTGAGCTTTACCTTCGGTAGACTTTCATTTACCCTCCCAGAAGGCAGCCCAAAAGAGGAGGTAGACAAGGAGGGGGTAGGGGGTAGGTTAGGCCAGGCCCCGCTACGGAGTTCCCGGAAGGGGCGGGTACCGCTCTTCCGGCGCGCGAGCTCACTGAGTCTAAGTTGGTCCCTTTTTCCCCCGCGTCCCGGGACCTTTCTCGTTCCTCGGCGCGCCGGCGCACACGTCACTTCCGGGAAGGCGCGCGAGTGGTGGGAAAGACTAGAAGAGAACCAGGTAAGGGCAAGTGTGCGGATTGCAGGGAAGAAGTTTCTCCCTTAAAGGAAAAGGAGGGCACAGTGAACTGGAGAAACCGAGGTTAGAAGGCGTGTAAGGTGAGGTCTAGGATAGAGATGTTGATTCTCCTGCCCGGCCTTCTGCTCTGGGAGTCCCGAGACTTGGATGCCAGCACCCAACTCTTGCACTTGTAGGGACCCAGCGGTGGTCTTGGAGCCTCAGCTCCCTCGTGTCAAGGGCTGCGAATGTGATGTGTTCCCTGATCACTCACTAGCCTGAGGGAAGGCAGTCCTTTTTTATTGGGTTATTTCTCTACATAGAGTGTGAACCTGGCTATTGACTTAGATCGGACTACTGGTTTGGCTCCCCTGCCCCTGGGGCTACTTCTCTGTTTAAGTAGCTAAGGATGCTACTCTAGGGACAAGAAAAGACCAATCGGTAAACATTTATTAAGTGCCTACTGTGTGCCCAGTCCTGTACTAATTACTGAGGATACGAAAGGAGGCAAAAGACGAAAGCTTCCTGCCCACAAGGAGTTTATATCTTAAAAGAGCTACAACTCACTAGTAAAATATTTAAAATGGGAAATAATACTTGCACCGTGCTTCTGTAAGGAAAGTAAATCTTAGTAATAATAATTTTGCAAGTAGATTTGCAGAGCCCTTTACAAGTATCTTATTTGATCGTCACCACACCTCTGGGAGGTAGGTGCTGTTATTATCATTCCCATATTCAGGTAAGGAAACCAGAGGCTGAGGAAGAATTTGAGGTTAAGTGACTTGCCCAGGATCACACAGCTAGTAAGTTCTGGGGCTGGATTTGAACTCAAGTCTTCCCACCTCCAAGTCCAGAACTCTAACAGCTGTGCCCCTAAACTGCCCCAGAATCCGTAATTGAAATGTATTATCCTTCTTCTTGTACCTTCTCTGCCACCCCAAATAATCTTCCAGTAATACGCCTTTCACTATCATCATAACTGACAATTATATAGCAATTCATAGTTTACAAAACGCTTTACTCATAGCAGCTTCATTTTTTTGTTTAATCCTCTAAACATCCCTGTGAGGAAGGTGATGCAGGTATGATTTCCCCCAATTTACAGATAGGGAAACTGAGGCCCAGAAAAAGAACGTAACTTACCCAGAGCCACGCAACTAAAAAGATAAAGAGCCCAGGAGTCTGTTTGTTTTACTCTAAATACAACCTTCTTTCCCAGGCAGCACACTTGTTTGCATCCCACCCCACCCCACTCAGCACTAACCACTTCCCTTCCCTCTATCAGCCAAGCTGGTCTCCCTACATAGACCACAGTCATTCCCATTTCTGCACCTTTGTTCATTTGGTAACACTCCCACAGCACTACATGTCTAGAGAGTGTTTGTTGAGACAGAGTATTATACAAGTAAAAAGAACACTGGATTAAGACCCAGAGGATTGTAGTTTTAAATCCCAGCTTTACCACATATATTGTTTGTTTAGTGTTTTTTCAGTTGAGTCCTACTCATTTGGGGTTTTCTTGGCAAGGATCCTGGAGTGGTTTGCCATTTTCTTCTCCACCATATTTTACAGATGAAGGAACTGAGGCAAACAGGGTTCAGTGACTTGCCTAGGGTCACACAGCTAGTGAGTGTCTGAGGCCAGATTTGAACTTGGTAAGGTGAGTCTTCCTGACTCCAGGCCCAGCATGCTATCCACTCTGCCATCTACCTGCTCTGCCGCTTATATTAACCTTTTCATTTAATCTTTTTGGTTCTCTTTTTTCTCATCTATAAAATTAAGAAGTTGGATCTGAATTATTTCTAAGGACCTTTCTAGCCCTAAATCCTGTGATCTTTGAATATCTAATTCCCCTCCTAACTATCCAGACTTTGGGGTCCATCTCAAACCTTTCCTTTTCCATGAAGCTTTCTCCTGTGGCTCTTACTTGGAGTGACATGTGTCTTCTAGCTCCAACATCCCACCAGAATGCTTTAATTTAGTTTTCAGATCAAACTTATCTAATCTATTTCTCAATACCTTTTCTCCTTTTAAATATATGACACTATTTTGTTATATAGATGAAAGAGCAGTCATTTGTGCTCCTCCCCTGGCACGGAGAGAATGCTCACAAATTAGTAATATCTTTCGTGCCAAAGACTTTTGTGAGCCATTTCAGTTCAACAAACCTATATCAGTGTTTATGTTTTACATGGCCTTGTTTCTTGTACATAATTTGGGCCATGAATGTGTCTATGTTCAATTTAAGTCTGTCCAGAGATCATCAGTAATGATCTTAATAGCCAAATCTAGTGGCCTTTTCTCAGTTCCCATCCTTCTTAAGCTGTCTGCCACTTTTGACACTATCAATCACCCTCTTCTCTTGGATACTTTCTCCTCTCTAGGTTTTCTCTCCTGGTCTTCCTACCTGCCTTACCTCTCTTTTTTTACCTAATTTATTGATTGTTCATAGAGGTTATGCCACCTAATTCTTAGTGTCTTCCAATACTGTTCTGGAGCCTCTTCTCACAATATACTATGCCACTTGGTGATCTCATCAGATCTCATTAGTTCAGTTATCTTCTCTGTGTACATGATTCTTAAGTCCAGATCCTTTTCTTTGTATCCCCAATTCTTAGCACATAGGGAGCACATGAATGCTGGTAGATTGACTAAAATCAACAAGCATTCACTAGCTGTTATTATATACAAGGTAAAGGGGATAAAAAGATACAAATGAAAGAGCAATTGACCTCAAGGATTGGGGGATGGAATTATAACATATACAGGTGTAAATATAAGGTAATTCGAGGAGAGAATGAGAAAGAAAAAGAGCATGCCAGCATCAGAGAAGGCCTTAAGTAGGTAGTAGCACTGAAATAAAGTTAAAACTCTGTGAAGCAGAAATGGGGAGATGGTGTGTTCAGTGGTGGACATCTTATGTCAGTATATTAAGCCAGAATTGGGAATGTCAAGTTCAGTTTGGCTGGGTGTGAAGGAGGGTAGTATGAATAAGACTGCAAGGATACATTGCAACCAGGCCAATGAATTTGTACTTTGTCCTGAGAGCAGGATAGCTAGACATGAGCCAACTGTACTTTATAAGATTGTGTTGATAGATTTGTGAAAGATGAATTGAAGTGAGAGGAGACTGAAATGGGGGGAGATACCAATTACTGTAATAATCTAGGTCACCATGTAATGATGGCCTAAAGTAGGGTACAGGTCAAGTGATTGGAGAGAGAATGGGGTGGAAGCAAGAGATATTATGAAGATATACTCAATAAGACTTTGCAACTGAATGGATGTAGAAGGTGAGAGAGGATGACTCTACAATATATAACTAGATGGAAATGCCCTCAATAGAAATGGGAAAGTTTGGAAGAGAGGAAAGTTTAGTGGACAAAAATAATGAGTTCTGTTTTGGACATGTTGCATTTAAAATGGGACATTCAGTTAGAGATATCCAGTTAGCTATGGAATACTGAAATTCAGGAAGAAGATTAGAATTGGCTATATAGATTTGGGGGCTATCTTCAAAAAGATGGTAGCTCAACCCATAGTAGCTAATAAGATCACTAAGGAAGAAAATATTGAGAGAATAGAATTGGGTCCAGGACAAGAGTCCTTGAAGGAATGTCCATGCTTAGGGGGAGGGAGAAGGATGAAGGGTACTAAAAAGTAGTCAGGGCAGGAGGAGAAGCTGGAAAAAGCAGTGTACTGGAAGCCAAGAGAGAAGAGAATATTCAAAAGGAGAGGATATTCAGCAGTGTCAGAAGCTACAGAGAGATCAAGGAGGATGAACACTGACAAAAGCACATTGGATTTAAAACTTGAGATCATTGACAACCTTAGGAAGAGCAGTTTCATTTGAACGGGTGGGTTGGAAGTCCAATTCAAGTGGTTGGGGAGCAGGGAATAAGAAAGTAGAGGCAATGAGAATAGTCAGCTACTTCTAGGAACTTGGCAGTGAAAGGAAGGAGAAATGATAGCTTGAGGGGATGGATGGTAGGGTCAGATGAACGTTTTTTGATCTCTGGGCAGACCTTGGCAGGGTAAGATTACAAAAACAAAAGAGCAAGAATTTCCAGGGTGGTGAACAGTTAAGGGGTTGGTCAAGACAGTCAGTCAGTCAGTCCACAAGCATAATTTATTAAGCATCCACTATGTGCCATGTACTGTTATAAGCAAAGAAAGTGAGACAAGAGCAGGTGTAATTGATTGGAAGAACCAATGAGTTGTGGAGGGACTAACAGTCATGTTGTGGATGAAAAATAAGTTGGGGGGGAAGGGGAGGAGTAGATAGTGATATTGAGAAATGAAGGGGAAAAAACATCAATGTATCATTAAAAAACTAAACAGGTAAACAGAAGAGAACAGAAGGAAGTCCAGAAGTAGACACAGACAAGCAGGGCAGTACTGAGACTACCATGCTCAATTTAAAATGTACCCCCAAAAAGCTATATAGAGGAGAGTCATAATTTCATATGCAGTACTTTTTTTGGTTCTTTGTATAAGGAAATATTCGTGTTTGTTGGTGTTTTTCTCAAGTTTCATGATAATAAAAAGGAAACATCTTTTTGTATTATTTTATTTTTGGTGAGGCAGTAGGGGTTAAGTGACTTGCCCAGGGTCACACAGCTAGTATCAAATGTCTGAGGTCAAATTTGAACTCAGGTCCTCCTGACTCCAGGGTTGGTGCTCTGTCCACCGTGCCGCCTAGCTGCCCCTTAGGAGACATCTTTTTAAAAGAGTAGGTTAGAAGGAGTGAAGCACAGGGAGAGATAAAGTATGGAGATTAAGATCAGAAAAGAATTTGAGATCATGGAGGTGGCAGTTCTGGGTAATACTGAGATCTAAGACATGGATTCCTGAGCAAAGTATTAGGTCATAGGAATTGAGAAGGTTAATGAATTGAGAGGCTAGGGTATCTCAGGGGACCAACATCAGTGTGTATATAAAGTCCTCAGCAATGAGGGCTGAGGAATGTAGGGTCAAGAGGAAGATGGTGAGGTAGGTACTGA